GGGGAAAAAGCTTTTGGCTTCTCTCCTGAGGCCACAAGAGGGCGCATCCAGCAAAATATTATGCCCGTTTCTTCAAAGCGTAATAAAATAACAACTATCTTTGAAAAAAGTGCATAATGTTTAAAAACCATATATAATTAAGTTGCTTAAACAATTAGAAAAAAACCCAGCACCATGCATGTATGTATAGTTTAATACAAAGGACCGAAAACCAATCACAAAGAGTAGGCTACTTTCTTCATTTAAAAACATGAGATGCAGTGGATGGAGAAAACCGCCATAACGTCTTTAGACATGTTTTTTAAAAGTTGAACTTGCATTAATTTTACATGGCTTTCTAAACATGCTGCTCTCTTGTGCGAGACGCGAGTGCAATGCTGATAGATGTCCCTCTAGAAAATGTGATAAATATGCATTCTGTGTGAACGGCTTGGTTTCAGTTTTGACGTAAACAACATCTTCTCCACACTGATGCTCTCGTTTTCCGCAGTATATGAATGAACAACATAGCAGCGCCGCATCTAGTGGCTTCAACTGGATATGCTAACAAAAGCATTCAAATGCAATCAAAGACACACACACATCGTCATCGCATCTGGTGCACCGCTGATAAAGCTGCCTGATGGCTGACGCAGACCTTAAATTCAAATGCAACGTTTTTGCATTCGAATGTGGATTTTTTTTTTTATTCGACGAATATTCGAAATTCGAATTTTTTTTGACAGCCCTGCAGAGTATTACAACACAATAGATCTGACACCAGGAAACTGATCAGCAAGACACACACCATTTCATACGGTTTTCTATTATTTGTTGGAATATATTCATTTTCAAGCCATTATCCTAGAAAATAAATTTGTACTAGCTCAATAATCAAATTGTTTGTCAGTTTGCTTAAGAAAAAAAAACGATCTTCCATTGTGCAGTTTTAAAGAACATCTTCATGAGCGTCAAAGCCTCAAGCCTCCACCTCAGAATTACTGCAGCTTCTGTTTCTTTAAAGAGTCTTAAATCACTGATTATTGCTTCTTTTCAAAGACGTGCTAAGTATCAAACTTATTTGAGAAAAAGAATAAAATGACTGATTGTTTTTATTGTATTACATGCATGAAGACAAACAGGTCTTTTTTAAGGTAAGAGTCAGATTGATCAATTTATTTGGACTACACTCTTAGTAAAATATTTTATTTCAACAAAGCCTTTAAGTGTTGTGTGCACACTAGACTGAACACTCAAAACTTCTTCAGTCATGTTAAGACTCTTCAGTGTCTTTTTTAAAAAGGTCAACAAATTCAACACGACTAATCATAATTTATCCAAAAGGTAAAAATATGCAACTTTTTTTTGCAACGCTGAAGTAGCAGCTTTAAAGTTTGTGTTCTTGTAATTCAGCTAGGAGTTCACGGCGTTATCTTCTATTGGTCACACATCTTTAAGAGATACGAATACCAAACACGAACTTCAGAAAACTCCTTGGCTTGAGCTCATGTTTCCGGCCTCCAGCACTCAGGTGTGCGTGAACGGAAGTCAATCTTTACTCTGACTCACACAAACACAGACGACACAGCAGAGCTCTACAGAAGAGCTAGAGAGCGCCTGAGTCGAGTCTGTACTACTGCAGAAGAACTCCATGAGCTTTGTGTTAGTGAGACTACAAAGGAACGAGGGTTAAGATCAGCAGCACTCACCGGTCTTGATGACGTTGTGTCTCAGACGGATGATCAGCGTGTAGGTGCCGTCGGCCTGAAACTTCTCTCCAAACTGATCCAGCGCCTGGTTAAACTTGGCCAGATTTCCAGCTCTCACCGCTAGACAGGGCAGAAACAGCACACTGTTATTAACCAATCCTGTTAGGAGTGGGACGTTATGCTGCTCTCATGATCCACACTCATACAACATTTAACAGGAAGCTCAGAATTAGAAATGTAATCACTTTTAAGACAAATGGAAAATTGTTTTTTTTTCCCTTAAAACACACAGGTCTGGACACCCCTACCATTCCTCCCACACCCGTTCTATTCAGCAGCCACTTACAGCTCAATCAAACTCGCTTCATAAGTGACACATTGTGCAACATCGACTCTGTTAATGAACTGAATCAACACTGAAATGACTGGAGTGCAACATAATGACACTACTGTCTTCAGCCGAGCTGCTTCACAGCAGAATAAGATTTTCTCATGTTTAGTCACACTCCATTTTTCATATCTATGATACACATCCTCACACCGCTGAAGCACGCTGTCTCGTGACACCCCCAGCAGGAGTATTTAAAGTCCGACTTTACTTCCATATCGTGACGTGCTTCAGAGAGAAACGGAACACTGAATGAGTAAACAGTGGGCGTGGCTTGTTTTGTTCTACTGTGAACTGATTGGACGTAGAACATTGACAGCTGGAGGGGCGTGTTTAAGGATGTTATGCTCAAGCCGTCAAACTGACATCAAGATTACGAAAGCAAACTATTTTGTTTTGTGGAATGACTTGCACAGATGAATTGTTCACCACAAAAATAGCACTGTGCGCTAGCAAAACAAATATGTGACCCTGGAGCACAAAACCAGTCGTAAGGGTCATTTTCTCAAAATTTAGATGTATACATCATCTGAAAGCTGAATAAATAATCTTTCCATTGATGTATGGTTTGTTAGGATAGCACAATATTTGGATTAGGATAGCACAAAAAATGTATAATTTTGACCCATACAATGTATTGTTGGCTATTGCTACAAATATACC